AAACCCCCAAAAAAAAAAAAAAAAAAAAAAAAAATCACTTAGTTCTCTGAAGTATAAATAAAAGAGACAAATAGCCAAACTAACCAAAAGAAAGGAAGAAAACATCCATATCCACTCAATTAGCAATGAAAAAGGCAAAAATCACAATTGGACACTACAAAATTTCAGTGTTAAAAGTAACTACTTCAAAAATCTATATTCCAAAAAATTAGAGAATGTAGAAGAAACAGATAGATTCCTTGACATACAACACAACTGAACCAAGATACAAAAAAAAACTCTGAATAGTCCAATAGTAGACAATGACATTGAGGCAGTAATAAAAACCCAACCAAGAAAATCCTACAACCTGATTAATTCACAGCAAACTTTTATGAGAACATCAGGGAAGAATTAATGTGCCAGCATTCTTCAAACTCTTCCACATAAGTCAAATGAAAGGAACATTGACAAATTCATTCCTTGAAGCTAGCACTACCCTGATCATAAAACCAAACAAGGATCTAACAAAAAAGAATACTATGAACCAGTTTCATTAATGAATATAGAAGCAAAAACCCTGAACAAGATACATGAAAACACACTATAAAAATCATTTAAAAGATCATATATCATGATCATGTTGGTTTCATCTCTGAAATGCAAGAATGATTCTACATACATAAATCAATAAATGGAACAGATCACAGAAACAAGGATGAAAATCACAACTTTATATTAATAGATTCAAAAAAGCCTCTGAAAAAATACAACATCCATTCACAATTTTTTTTTTTGTACCAGGGATTGAACTCAGGTCCTTGTGCATATGAGGCAGGCAACGGAACCACTGGGCTAATCTCCGGCTACCAATTCACGATTTTTTAAAAAAATCAATGAAAACTAATACAGAAGGACAATAAAAGCCATTTATGACATACTTGCTGCCAAGATGATATGAAATGGGGAAAAGCTAAAAGCATTCACACTAAAACCAGAGATGACACAAGGATGTCCACTGTCACCACTCCTGTACAAAACAGACCTACTTGAAAATGTAGCCAGAGCAATTAGGCAAGAGAAAGAAACAAACTGAATTCAGATAATAATGGAAGAAATCAAAATGTCTGCAAATGACATGATCCTTTAAACAGAGATTCCAAAAATCTCCACAAAATTCAGGAACATGGCAAAATGTAAAATAAACACGTAATAATCAATAGTATTGCTCTGCTTGGCCCACTTCTTAGGTGAGGAACAACAGAGCACCAAAGCAGCAGGGATCCTCCGGTAGGCTCAGCCCAGGGCAGCAGAGGAACCCAGCCACACCAACAAAGCAGTATCGGTGACTAAGCCCTCCCCCTGCAAACAAGAGAAAGAGGGCCTCTGAGGCTCCTAGATGAAAACGGAAGCCCACTGGAAAAGTGAAGAAAACCTCTGTGATAAAGGCAGACCACACCACCATAGCTGATTACTCGGGAGGGACCAGCACCTCACATCAGAACCTGGTTTAACTCCAAGGGAAACACAGCTCGAACATGCAGCAGCACCTTGCAGAGTTCACCCCAGCAGGAGGTCAGAGATCTCAATTTGGGCCGCCAGAAAGAAATCAGCCTGAACCTCAAGGGACAGAGGCGGGCTTGGTGAAATTAACTTAGATCAGCACACTGCTGCCCACACTGTCTACTGTATAAGAAAGGCATAATCTGAAGGAGGCCCTCTGTTTGTATTTTTTGTTTTCAAAGTAGTATTTTTCTCTTATCTTTATCATTTTTTAAAACTAGTCTATCTTCTTTTCTCAAAATGTTTTCCTTTATCTTTTCCTCTTTTCTTTCTCTTTCTGCCTCTCACTCTCTCCCCCACCTTGAGCTTCACTTCTCTCCTTTTCTATTTCTATTCCTATCCTAATTCAAACTTATTTTCTTTCTTTTGCTTTTTTTCCTCTTTAGCCTTCTCTCAACTGCCATTA